GGGGCGGCGGGGCGGCGGGGCGGCGGGGCGGCGGGGCCGGGGGCCGCCTCGCCAGCGCCACCTGCCGGAGCGCCGACGTCGCTGCCCCCGCCGCCCGGCCAGGCCCGCCCGAAGGTTCCGCGCAGAACGCCCGCGACACTGCTTCCACCGCCCCTGTCCTGTCCTCACCCGGTTCTCCCACGGGCTATCCGGGACCACACCGGCTCCTCGGTACTGGGGCGGACCTGCTCCTCAGCCCGCATTAAGCCCTGGGTCTTGAGCGCTAGCACTCTCCCTCTCCCCGCCCCACGCTAGGGCTCAGGTTAAAACGAGGTCAGGGGACTGGCCCGGCCGCGCGGCGTGGGAGGGGCCTGCGGAGGGCGTGGCCCGCAGCCGGACAGCGGGAGGGAGAAAGGTGGGAGGGCAGAGAAGAGGGCTGGAGGGGCAGGACTTCACAGGTGGTGGCCGTGTGCTCCCCACTCCCACCCCCTCCCCCCAAAGCGGAGAAGGCTGGGAGGTCGGAAGGGCTGGATCAAGTCCCACTAAGCCGCTCTCCTACTCCAAGTACAAATGATATTGGTAAAATAAGTTGAAAATCAATGGGTCAGCCCAAGAGAAAGGATCCCAGTTGCCAACTTGCGGCGCCCAAGGTGTTGGGAGTGACCCTGAGGTTGAGCAAGCCCCTGGCTCAGTCCGTCTTGGTCGGGACAAGACACTCCAGGGAAGTGTCTTGTCCCTGGAGGGACAAGGGGGTGAGGCGCGGGCCCAGCAGCCCAGACAGGGCCACCTCTGAGGTCAGCCCTGGGTTGCAGGAGAGCATACAGAAGAGGCTGGAAGAGAACTGTCTCGTCCCATCGCTTAGATGAGAAGGAAGTGTTGATGGCAGTTTCCTGTATCCAAAGCTCGCTCCTCCTGTTCAAAGAGCTGCCAAAGCGGTCACCAGAAAATGAACGAGGAAGACAATCTCAGCTGCAGCAAAAGAAACCAATGAGTGGGAGAGCTGAAGAGAACAAAGTTTACTTCAGTGGAATTTCATAAAAAGTACATCCAGGCAGCTGCAAGCCTTGCCTGCCAAAAAACCCTGTGGGTGTGGGAGCCCTCCAGCCACAGGTGAACCTTCTTAATCAGCAACCAAGAGCAGGGAGGCTTCAGGATTATGGGGACCAGGCACATTACAAAGCCCCAGACCAGAGACGAAACCATAATGGTGAGAAAGGGCCCAGGATCCATGGGGACCGAGAGCCATGACACCCACCCAAGACCTGCTCAAAGGCTGGAGCCGGGGCTGAGGCGAGGTCAGGCTCTAAGTCCTGCACGGGGCTCGCCCTGCACAGCCAACCTCTCAGGCCAGGCTCCCCTGGGGTGGAAAGTGGTGGGTATGTTCTGTAGATTTTCCTCCTCTCATACCCCTAACCGTGCCTCGATGGGTGTCTGTCGTGGGTTCCTGTGCCCTGACAACTCCTGGAGCACCAACTGTGCATGCAGCAGGCTGCCTGCACAACCCCCTCTTTCCGGGACTTCAGAGGATGCACACAGCACCACGCCGGACCCAGCAGGAGCACCCTGAGCAGGCAGCAGATGCTCACTGGCCCAGCTGTAAGCTCCCACCCACCCAGGAGGGCTAACCCAGCCCACAGGGAAAG